GGCAGATCACACTTCCCTCTCTGTTTTCCTGGGGTAGGAATGTGGGAATCTGTTCCACAGTCCTCCCTTGTGATGGGCAGTACTACTCCCAAGGTTGTCTGCTAAGACTAAAACCTCTTAAATCCCTCCTGTGCAACAACAGCCCATTTGAATTCTCTACAGCTTGTCTGTCATGGCGCCATTAGGCTGCTCATGTTTGTCAGTGGCTGGAATTAATGCAACCAGGAGTTATTTTGTTCTTTTTAATGTGATGGGGGACATGAGTCGTAAAAAAAAAAAAAAAAAAGAACACAGTTATTTCAGAATCTCACTTTTCTGAATAAATCAGGAAGACGTGTTTTGTTGCGGTGGAGATAGCATAGTTGTTGGCGAAGATTCTTTAGCCCAGGAAAGCTTTGGCCCAGGATAGACTTTTAAGAGAACATCAGCAGAATTTTCTAATATCATTTGAGAAGCACTGAAGAAAATAGCCACACAGTGAGCAGAGACAGCCACTCTGAATTAAAGGTGGAGCTAATTCACTCCTCTGAGTTCCTGCTTCTCCAGGAGTTGCTATGATCCCTGAATTTAGACCTCGGCCTCTGCATAGTCTATCCACACATTCACCCTGTCCCTACTACAGCCCCTACTACTGTCTGTGATTGGGTTCAATTCCAAGGAAGATAGATGCAGTCTGCATGTGTTGGATATTTTTTTTTAATTCTGTCCTCCTAGGTTGTTTCAAGGTGATGCTGGCCTGCCCACACCTCCTCCATCCTTGATGTTCCAGCTGGCTTGGTCTACCTACCTAGGTTGCCAAGTTCCCTTCCCACCATGGGAAAACCCAAGGGGGGTTTCTGTTCATGATGGGGAAGTCATGGAGTGGAGCATCTTCTTAGAGAGAGAGGCTGGGAGATGTGCGAGCTGGACTGAAACCTGGAATTATTGTCTGACTCATTCAGGTGCCAAGAGGTATTGGAAAATATCCAAAAAGGAAGGAGACTCTTCTTTTTTTTTTTTCAGGCAAAACAGCAGCCTCCTTGTTGGGAAGGGAATAATCAATCCCAGCTGGGGAAAAAGAGAATCTGTTTCCTTTGCAATCTAATCTTATGACATGAGTTTCTGACAGGAGTAGTATTCTAGCCCAGACTTGTGGCCCCAGGGTAGAGATGGTTATTTAAGACATCTGGCTCCCCAAACAGGACATATAACTTGATGATAAATGCTTACAGACAACTTCCCTTATGTACCAGTCCCTGGCCCAGTTGAATCGACACCCCTGAGACTTGCATACACACACAAAAATACATCTTTCTTTTGAAAGACTATCATGTCTCTGGATGCAAGACGAAGATAAGATATTCTCCATGTATGTAGTTCATTGGTATTTCCCTCCCGTGTGCAATTCTGCAGGGAGGAATTCCTTTTGTGCATTCCTGGGGAAGCGTTTCCTGTATTTTGAAATCCTGTCTCCTATTCGAGTGTAAAACAAATCTCCTATGAGGTTGTGTTTTTTCCCCCTGTCCTTTGTCTTTTGGAAGGAATTATTTCTATGAATTTGTTATTTGACGTTGTCTTGACGATTTTGTTCCTAGTAGTTTACATACAGCTCTTTCAGGAATAACTTCAGATGTCAGCTATTTAAACTTTGTTTCCTGAGTTGAGATTCCCTTCCATCAAGAAGTCTTCGCCTTGGAATGGCAGTTATGCCTTAATCTCGAGACTTAAATGTCAAGCATTTATGGTATGTTCTTGATTCATAATTAAGGATGGAATCTGTGGGTCGATTTCAGGGGGTGGTCCAGACTTCTTTTCCTGTATCTGAGAGCTCAAATTGCTCAAATTATACATAAGCTGAAACAGCCCCTGAGAGGTGGCATTTCCTGCAACACACTGAGAGAAAGTATCATTTCTTTGAAAGAAGTTGGAAGTGTAGAGGGTATTGCAAAACTCAACTTTGTCATGTATCAAAAGTAATCATGTGAGTAGCAGGATGGTAGCTTTAAAGACAGAGAATATGAAAAAATGAAGACACAGGTTTAAAAAATCCACACTGAGGGAAATGAACTGTGCAACTTGTGGGCAGAGCTGGGGGGGCGGGGAAGCAAAGGAAGGGGTGACATTATCCAAAAGAGAAGTATACATGGTCCCTGAACTGTGAAATGGTAATATCTCTGCACAACACCTTAATAACAACAATACACTAATATTTAGTAAATAATAATCCATACTGAATGAACCAAGTGAATTGCAAGATCATCTATTCGTTGGACATAATTATAGGAGAATCCTACAATGTGAAACAATACTCTCTGTTGCCTGTGGCCATGAACTTCTGTCCTCTGAAGCCTAAAAAAACGTGACTTGGAAGAAAGGACAAATGCTTGTTATTTCCTTTGGAAGACGGAGGGGGATGGATGGAAGGGGGTGGGGTGGGTGGGTAAAGAACTAGTGAGGAAAAAACAAAAGAGATTTGAGTTTTATGTCTTATTTTCCTATATGAAAAAGATCTGAAGCGGACACAGTAAGGTAACATTTAATTTGACAGACTGGGTAGTACTTTTACCTTTTAACCTTGAATTACTTAAATGTGTGCATTTAAGTAATATGTAAATTTAAGAAATACAGAAATTAGCTTAAAACAACAGCCACAAAGAAAAGACTTCCTCACATCATTCTGAGACTTCACATAAATAAGGGCCTCAGGACACAGCCAACAGGCCTGGTATTTGCATTTTTAGAGAAAGTCTTGACAAAGCAGTTAATTTAAGCTGTTGAGGCTCTCTCCTTTTGAATTCCCTAAAGCAGAACCTAGAGCTAAGGACTTGTAAATCTTATGCACATTTTAGGGTAACAAGTTTGGCTGTGGGTCAGGACCGAGTGTCTTCTAAACAGGGAGATTTGATTGTGATATGTGTCTCAGCCACTATCACTTTCAAAATGTTGCCATTAATAATTCAAATAAGTGGCATGCTCACCTTTCAGAGTAGCCACAGGCATGCAATTTACTCAGGAATTCATTCACTACAGAAATGGGACCTTCATCCCCATCTGCACTTGTAGGATTGTAGGATTTACGCCGGTTTGAAAAAGCGAATGTTGACTCCTCTCATGCACACAGATGAGCCTAGAGAAAGCAGAGCTTACCTTTTCTATGGTACAATACTACTCCTTATTTCAGACTCGGCTCTAACCTGCTCATCTGGTTGGATCATAACTTACAACTGAGAAGGGAACAGAGGGAAATGTGTCCTTAGGTAGTGTGACATTTGGGTAGCAACGTTTGTTTCTTTCCTCCTAATCAAATGCCTCGAGTCCTCATTCAGTCTTTCTTTTCCTTAGGGGAGGTATTGGGAATTAAACTCAGGGCCTCCCACTTGCTATACAGCCACTCCATAACTGGAGCCATGCACCCGGCCCTCTTTGCATTGTTTTCACGGTGGAGTGTCACTTACATGACCAGGCTGACCCAGTCTGTGATCCTCCTATTTGGGCTTCCTTGTGTCATGGGATGACAGACACACACTACCACACCCAGCCACTGGTGGAGATGGAGTTTCACAAGCTCCCTTTTACCCAGGCTAGCCTCAACTCATGATCCCCCAACCTCTGCCTCTCAAGTAGCTATGATTACAGTCTTGAGCCTCCTCTGTCTTGGCACAGTTTATTGTTATTGCACACTTGAGTTTCCTGAACTTGAAATGTTGTTTCTCCCTAACAAGCCCATGGCATGTTTAGATGGAATTATCAGCAGAGAATCAGTTCAATTGGAGGTCGGGTGATCTTTTGATACAAAAATGTTCAAAGCATGATGTCAAGGGAGAAGGAAAAAAAATTTATTAAGAGACAAAAAAAAATCCAACGAAACCCACAGTAGTGGACATGATCCTTTTATGTATAGTGATATTTTCCAGAAGCATAAATACCTAACTCTAAGAGGACATAGTAGAAGTGTTTGCTGTTGTACTTAGGAATTGGGGTTTCCAGAATGAGTATAGGATGGACTGAATTTTTTCCATTTAACTTAATGTCTTAGTCTTGATTCCAAGTGTTCTCACCACATGATTACCATATGTCAAATTAGCCCAAATGTGGACTAATCTTGATTCTTATGTGCACAGAATCAGATCCTGAAAAAAATGGTACAGGTTCTGCCTTTATTTTAAAAAAACATACAGGTTATAATATTTAGTAATGCATATTTATGCTCTTGGAGTTTCCAATCTGAAAGCAAGTGGGATCCTCTTCCAAGTTCATATGATCATAACTTGTGTTTGTAATTTGTTTTAATAGAGTTAGCCAATTTGTTTGAAGATATCGATTTCAGAACACACTCAGTATTCCCTCAGGTGTCTGAGGTTAGCCTGAACTTGTACTGACCTTATAACATTACTTAGAAGTTGATCCTTTAAAAAACAAAATCTTTGATAGAAGATTGCGTACCTGCCATTCATTTTCTTCATAAAAGTAAGGTATGGGAAAATGGTCAAATTGTTTGTGTTTTATACAAATATAAAAACTTCTGACTATCTTCAAAAGACCTTTTTTAAGTTTTCTCAAAGGTTATAAATCACATCGTTAATGTTTTCTTTAGGAAGATAGTATGTGGTCAAGTTCAAAGTATGGTGCAAGTCTACCTGGGTTCAAATCTCAAACTACTCTTGCCTGGCTGTGGGACTTAGAGCAAGTGGTGTGGCTTTTCTGAGTCTCTTGAAGCATTTGCTCTATAAAGTGGAAAACTTACGTATGTCCTTCATGAGGAAGTGGTAGAAGTTAAATTGTATAGCGAGAAAACAGAGAAGCCATGTTTTGAGAGGTCAAATTTGGCTTGCCGGTGGTCTGCAGATACATTCCTATTACAAAGATCTGCAGCCCCTCGAGTGCACTTAACACTGTTAGAAAACTGAGCCATGAGAGCCGAAGAGAAAAGAAAGAGCAGAAAAACAGTACCAACAACTCAGATCAGCTCCCATGGAGAGCTGAGGTGGGACTCCACGTGGACCGAAGGAGAGCCAGGAGACATGGACATGAAGACACGTAGCATGGTGTCCTGGTACCTGAGCTGGTCCAGACCTAAATACGGTCAGGTCAGGAGGCAGAGTCACAGGGAGTTTGAGCATTCATGACGCAAGACTGGCAGGTCCAGTAACCTAGTGTCCAAGTCCCTGGCCCTGTCTCTAGGAATAAAGGCGTGCCCTCCCCTGGGAGGGGAGACATGGTTGCCTCCACCATGTGACCAAGATGGCGCTGGCCGGAGCCAGCATCTCTCCTTCCAAATGAAATGCACATGTAAATGACATTTATAATGTAGAAAATGTGTGGACAGTTTATGTTCTGTAGTTTTTCTTTTTCCTTTTTATTTTGGGTTGGGACAATCCAGATTTTAATCTTAGAAATTAATTTCTGGATTAGGAAAAAAATGGCCATTTCATGCTTTGGTTTTTCAGCTGCCTTTTCTGAAACACTTAATGGTTCCCCCTTTCTGTTTATTACTTAGAAATGGCTACCTCCTAGGGGGAGTATCAATGTATCTACAGTCCAGTTACGTCTACTTGGACCCCTTTCCCCCCCCGGCTCCTGAGCATCCAAGGGTGTGGAAGGCATTCGTGATGGCTGACTTACTGGATCTCTTCTGAATCCCCTGCTTGAATTCTTGGCTTTGGCTTCCCTTAAGAGAAAGCCCGCCTCCCCTCTCCCCCCACCAAAAAGCAAAACAAAACAAAACCAAGAACACCTTTCCTGTAGGAATTCAGGAGGTGGCCATTTGGAAATGACCCTCTCCTCTCATAATACGTTTGGTAGCTAAGTGGCTCTAAAATGTTAACATCTTTTCATCTTATGGATAAAACATGTTCAGAAACCAAATCTTTAGTCTCAAGACTCTGATTCATCTTGGTTGGTGAAAAGCCATCATTATGAGACAACCACAGTCAGACCACAATGATTAGGTCCAGTTTTGTTTTGTTTTGTTAATAGCAGCAAAGTAAATGTAAAGCGCGGTCTGCAGGTGCCACCAAGGAGCCTTTTACTGTAAAAGCTGTCTTCTTTGAGCTTCAGCTCCATTTCCATGGCAACTACAGTCTGAGTGCCTGGCTGAATGGATTTACAGGAAACAGAAAAGCATTGCTATTCTGAGTAGCTTTCTTCTTGCTGTGGATGGGGGTCCTTGCTTTCCTGTAAGCCAGCCAACTTTGAAAGGGAACAAAGCAGGCTATTTATGCTAATTTTATTCTTGGCCCCATGATAAAGAAATGGGGAAAATGCTAGACCCTGCTTACTGACCTGTGAATTTGCCTTTCTGGTGGTGGTTCCTAGCATTTTGGAAAGACCCAATGACTTTACCTTTTTGTTTCTTCACCTTTTCTGTTTCACAATGGTGGCAATCAAATGTATGGTCTCCTGCATGCCAGGCAAGCGCTCTACCACTGAGTTACTCCCCCAGCCCTGCCGTTTCATTGTAAGCAGAGCTTCTATTCTAGTAATAGAATTGATTCGAAGGTGTGTGTGTGTGTGTGTGTGTGTGTGTGTGTGTGTGTGTGTGTGTGTGTGAAGAAGGATCTTCATTACAGTGAAGTTGATCTGCTTTCTTAGGTGGGTAATCTATTTATCAATAATAGAATTAAAGATAATAGCTTAGGCAGCTCTATGGTTCGTCCTCTAAGTTAAAATTGTGTTTGTTTGTATTTTCCTGACATCCTTAAAAAGGAGGGGCTGAGGGTATAGAGGATTATGCATGCTACATATGTACATAAACACACAGATGCACATCTATACATACACATACACACATAAACATATATAATGAGACCCACCAAATGTGAGGGAGAGGGCCTACACTGCACACATCTATGGAATTCTCACCAAAAAATACCCATGTGCTATTCATGTGTGCTGATGAAGTAAGTAACAACCACAAAACAGTAAAGTTGTATTTCTATGTGCTTCCGTGACAGAAAAATCTTGTAATGGTCGAATATTTTCTTAGGCACTAAACTAAATGCAGTTCTCTTGGCATTTTCTGACTTGTAAGCTAATTTTTTAAAGAAGAATCAAAGGTGTTTTTTTTTTAACCAACACAATTACATTGAAAACCTATATAACAATCCGATGTAGTAGCTTATGCCTATAACCCTGGCTACTCAAGAGGCTGAGATTGAGAGGATCACAACTCAAGGCTATTCCAGCCTCCCCCCCCAAAAAAAATGTTTGGGAGACTCCTTCTTAATCACTAAAAAATAAAACTGGGCCAGGTGGCTTTCTCCTGTTGTACCAACTACTCATGAGGCTAAGATTGTAAAGGTTGGGATTCCAGGCTAACCTGGGCAAAAAAAAAAAAAAAAAACCTTGAAAGATGCTATCTCAGCGGAAGCTGGGTGTGGTGGTCTGAGCCTGTTACCCTTGCTGATGGCGAAAAGAGAGGTGTGAGCTAGGACCACACTCCAGGCACAGTCTGGGGAAAAAGCAAGACCTTATCTAGGAATAACCAGCGCAAAAAATGGTTGTGCTATGGCTCAGTGGTAGAGCACAGCTTATGCCCATCTAATAGCCCAGGTTCAAACCTCAGCACTTCCAAAACCTGCATCTGTACAGTAATTTTAGTTGTAGATAAAAGCCACTATTGGATTCTCTTTCTGACTTCCTTTAAATCTTTTTAAAAGTAAGCTATAAATACTTGCTGGTTTTTTTTTTTTAAAGAGACTGTAGTAGAGACAACTTTTTGAGCTTAACTCTGATAATAAAAGCATTTAATTTAATTTCAGGAAGGGGTACAGAGTTTGGGTCTCTCTGTAAGACAGTAAAAATGAAAAGAAAGCTGCATAGAACATTCTGATATGTTTTATACTCCTAATCTCCATCATCCTATTATTTTTTTCTTTAGAATGTGATCTTTGGTCCACAAAGTGAATATTTCAAAGTGCTAAAAATGTTTAGATTAAGTTGATCCCAATTTAGGCAAGTCTCTCACTGAGCCCTGAGGATTTCTCCTTTGCATTTTGCTGATGCTGTGGAATATTTCAGCATGCTCAGGAGTATCTCAGGAGACCCTCATGTCACGCAAACTCAGTTCTCCAAATAGCATCTCACAGCTGGGGTGATGGCAAATCACATCGCGTTCTAGCTGTAGTAATAAATTTTACAACAACATTTTTCACCCCATAATAAAACTTAATTTTTGAAAGGGCATTCAGGTGGTAAGATTAGTATCTAGGAAGATAGTAAGATGTCTAGGGCCAACATTTTGATCAATGAAGTAGTTGCTGAATGCCTTCTACGAAATGCTATAGGATTGGCTTGGCCTCATAAGTTACCTTGGGATAGAAAGCAAACATAAACCTGCTAACTGGGATGAACGTGCATGCTAATGTGTGGCTAGGAAATCACAGAAAGAACCAGACAGAGCCTCTAGAGAAGGGGAAGAAGTAGGCTCCAGGCATTTCCATCGTGATTTATTCAACACCAATGTATTAAGCAAGCCCTCCATGCCAGGGGCGGGGGAGGGGGGTGGGGGGGCTCTGGAATGTGCTGGAATTATGATCATGAACAAGATGATGACATTGTATTTGTGAAGTTCACAGTCCAGTGAGAGATCCAGGCACAAAACCAGACAATTCTGTCAGTGCTGACATCTATGCTAGGTGAAGTGCAGAAGATGAAGGGGACAGCCAGATTTGGGGAAGTGTCAAAGATTCTTTGAGGACATACGAAGCTGAAACTTGAGCAAAATCATACTGAAGCCCCAGGACCAGCACACACACACACACACATACACACACACATACACACACACACACAAAGAAAGAAGTATGTCTGCTGAGTGCTGGTAGCTCATATGTTATTCTAGCTACTTAGGAGGCTGAGATCTGAGGATTCTGGCTCAAAGCCAGCTTGGGCAGCAAAGTCCAATCAATCATCAAAAAGCTGGAAGTGGATTTTGGCTCAAATGGTGGAGTGTTAGCCTTGAACGAAAAACAACCCAGGCCCTGAGTTCAAGCTCCACAACCAATAAACACACACACACACACACACACACACACACACACACACACACCAGAGTGTTTCTTTTTGTTTTGTTTTGTTTTCCTTTTGAGAAAAACTTGACTTTTTACAAGTAGTCTCCTAAAATATAAATAAGCTGTTTTTAGAGAAGAAAACAATTTAAACGTTGTTTCTGTTGCTTTGGGCCTGTGGTAAGGTAGCACACCATTAGCAGAAGCATGGGCCGGAAGGATGACCTCACAATCCCCATCAGGGTCACACCCACAATGGCCTAAAGACTCCCACCAAGCCCAGCCTCCTAAAGGTTCCACCACCTCCTTAGGGGCCAAGCCTGTAACATGTATACCATTCAGACATACAAACTGCAGCAGTCAGGAAATGGAGACTGACTGTAACTTTTTCTGACTCAGAATTTAAGTGTCCTGTGAGGATTATATCTCTGTCACCTACACTTTTTTGTTTTAAGGGGAATCCTTATTATACCCCTAATATATGCCTAGTATTTTTGTTAGGCTTCAAACCTACCAGAAAGAGAGAGAGAGAGAAAGAGAGAGAGAGAGAGAGAGAGAGAGAGAGAGATCCTTTAACAGACACCAAATAAGGAAAGAAAAATAAAGTAGTGTGGCAAGCTACTAAGAACTAGTACTGAACTTCTGGCTGGCACCTATTCACCCTGACCTAATTAATCTGTCTACTGTAGGATAGAAGGATTACTATTGTAAATGGCTCCCATTAATTTAGAAAGTGTAGACATGTCCCTGTAGATACTTTATTTCTCTGCTGGAAGTTTCTCCATTCGATTCTGCTGATAGCCTTAATTTTGCACCTGAGCCAAAATATTACTTGCCCCTTGTGTATCTAGCTTTCTTTCACAAGCCATCTACTTACTATTCCCAATGAGATTCTGGGAGAATTAACTGTTTCTTGCATTGAAGAAAGAATTTAGAAGCGAATCAAGGCCTTCAAACAGATACCTTTTCCCGCAACCTTAAAACCAGTTTTGTACGGTCTCTGTACTCCTTTCTTCCCATAATTATTCAAGGTGTTTTGTCACAGCTTTTTCACACTGCTGTGGCATTTTGAACAGTAA